AATATGTGATATTATCTTTATTTTAATATAAAAATAAAAAATATTTATTAGTAAAATTGAAAACTTTTATATAAAGAAAAAAACTCACATTTTTCATATTTTGATTATGTTTTATTAATAAATTTGTTTTAGCATTCCATTCTTTTTGATTGTTACTGTATATATAAATAGAAAAGCAAAATAAAATAATCATAAAGAGATATAACTATAAACAAATAAAAATTAAAAAAATTAAATAAGTGATTTTTTATGTTTTATTCATTTTATCTTTATATTATATCATTAATATCTTTTTAAAAATTTATACTTATATATAGATAATATTATATTAATAAAACAAATTAATTAATAATTATTTTTGATATTGTAATTAATATTATAAGTATTACAAAAATAAATTTTAGTAATTTATTTCTTTGACTTTTTATTTATTTACTAATTTTTAAAATATAAATTTTTTTATAATTATATTCATTTATAGTTTACTCCTTTATAATTACTTTATTTATTTATATATAAATATAATAAAAAATTTTTTTATAGTTATATTGTTTCTATAATTATCAAATTTTATTTTTACAAGTATAATAACTATAGAAAGATTTGACTATATTATTTTACAGAAATTTTTTTGTGATAATAATTATTATATTATAGATATTTATTTTGAAAATATCAAAAATATAAATTAATATCAGTATAATAAATAAAAAAATCTAATATATAAGAGTAATATATAAAGAATTTATATTTATTTCTTAAAAATGAATATATTATAAATTTTGAAATTTATATAAAGTTATTGTAAAAAGTAAATTTTATATAATATAAATAAAAAACAAATTTTTCTATTTTGTATTCAAATTTTATTCTGTTATATTATTATAAAAAAGTGAATTTTATATAATATAATCAATAAAAAGTAAATTTTATATAGTTATTATAAAAAACAAATTTTATATAATATATATCAAAAAAGTGAGTTTTATTTTGTCATAACTAATAAAAAATAAATTTTATATATTAAAAGCAGATTGTATATAATATAAATAAATAAGTAAATTTTCTATTTTATAACTTGAATTTTATAAAAATATAACAAAAATAGTTAAAATCTTATTTTTTGATAATATATGAAAAGAATTAATAAATTTATAGAAATAAAATATATACTAAATCTTAATGAAATTAATTTATATAAAATATATGTATAATATAAATCTAAATTTAAATAAAGAATTAATATAAAATAAATAAATATTATTTAATTAAATTTGAATAATATTGTTCTTAAAGATAAAACAATAATAATATTTATTTTAAAAATATATAAAAGTGAGTTAATAAAAATCAAGCAAATTATTTTTTTCAAAAATGAACTTTTATATAAATAAATATATTAATTATTTTTTAATTAATAATAAATTTTAATTTACATAATAAAATTTTGATATTGTACTTTAAAGTTTTTTATATATTAATTATATAAAATACAGAAAATAAAATACTAATTATTATAAAATTAAAATTTTATAATTTGTTTAATTTCTATTGATTTATTTTTATATATTTATTTATTTAAAAAAATATTATTAAGTAATAATTATAATATATAATTATATATATAAAAATACCTGTATTTTTATTTTATGAATAAAATATAATTAACTAAAGTTTTAAGTTAAGTTTTAAAAAAACTTAAAAATTATCTTAAATTTAATTAGTTTAGATTTGAAATAATTTAGTTTTATTATTTTATATTATATATTTTGTATAATTTATTATAAAATATTATTAAAAAATTTATCTTGATTCTTGAATTTTATATTATTGAATTTTTTAAATTTAAATTATTTTTTAATATTTTATTAAAATTATTTTTTATTATATAAAATTAAAATATTAATATAATAATAGTTATAAATAAGTTTTTTTTAAAATTTAAATAATTTTTTAATATTTTATTAAAATTATTTTTTATTATATAAAATTAAAAATTAAAAAATTAATATAATAATAATTATAAATTAGTTTTTTTAATATAATTTAATATAAAAATATTTATATCTAGATAATTATTAATAAATTATTTTTTTAAAATAAAATTTTAATTTTATTTTATTTAATTAAATTATTAGATATTAAATTTATTTTAATATATAGTGATTAATAAAATTATAAAATTATATATAAAAATTTATTAATAAAATATAAAGTTCATAAATTATAGTTTAATATATATTTTTTTCTGATAAAATTATTCAAAAATTTTTTATAATTAAAATATAAAATTAATTATGAAAATATTTTTGCAATAACTTTGCAATTAAAACAATTTTGTCAGAAAAAATCTAACAAATTCAGAAAAATATGTATTAAACTATAATTTATAAGCTTTGTTTTGATATAAAAATAAAAAATATTTATTAATAAAATTAAAACTTTTATATAAAACAAAAATTTTAATTTTTACTATATTTTATTAATAAAATTTTATGTATAATCTTATAATTCTATTAGTTAATATATATATTTTATAAAAAAATTTTTACTAGTAATTAAAAATGCTATAATAACTATTATAATATGGTAACAAATAAAGTATCATCTAGTACTAGTTGTAGCTTATGAAATTTTAGAGTTGTATTATATTGTAATAGATAACAAATAAATATTATATACTTGTTATACTAATTTTATTAATAATAATTTTTTTTGAATTTTTATTTTATAAATTTTACTATATAAAATTTAATTAAAATTAATATAAAAATAACTTAATTTTGTAATAACTAGTAATATGCTTGTATAATTTAAAGTTCTAATATTTTAAATTAATAAAAATAATATTTAAAATAGAGTTTTTAAAATAAATAATTTTTTATTTTATTTTTTTAGAAAAATATTGCTTTATTTATTAAATAAAAATATAAAAATAATATAAATAATATAAATAGTTAGTTTAGATTATTTTTTATTAGTAAAAAAATTATAAAAATTAATTAAATTCTAAATAACTTTTATTAGAAGCATTTATTAATTTTTATTTTGAGATACAAATTTTTTTGCACCAGATTATAACTATTATTAGATTATTATATAATTTAAATGACTACATTTAGCATTTATAATAATAATAATAATAATAATATCTTTTATTAAACTAAATCATCTAATAAAATATTAATTATTTTTGAACATATATTAGCTATTGTATTTTAATATGAAAATAAAAAATTTAAAACTTGAAAAATTGAATTACACATAAAATATAATTCTTTAAATAAACTTGCAATTGATTGTTTATAATACTATTAATAATTAAACAAAAATTGACTAAAAAGTTCAAAACAAGCAATTTTACTATTTAATTAATTAAACAATATTAACCAGGAAAAAGAGCAATATTAAAATATTTATTTAGTGGCTATATGATCACTTTAATTATTTCTAATTCTAGCAACTTTAGATATTTGACAGAAATTATTTATTGATCAAACTAACGAATGATGCATATAGGTTTATTTAACCTAGGAAAAATGAAATTTCGTATAACGGGAAAAATCGAAATGCACGAAAATCTAAGGAATTTATGGCGCTTGCTGTGTGTTATAGTGCCATGATGACGTCATCCAAGTATTATTGCACAGTTTTTTTTATTATTATTTGTTCTCAAGAATACCTTGAGGATTAAACCATAGATAAAAAAGCCAAGTTAAAAAAAATGACAGCGGAAAAATCAATTGAATATACATTGTTTTTATTTTATTGTTTATTTTATTTACTATATACATTTTTTATTTTTATACATTTTTATTTTTTATTTTTTTTTACTATAGAATATTTTTTTTTCTATATACACTTATTTTTTTACTATATACAAATATTGTCCATTAAGTTATACAGGTAGGTTATAAAATATTCACAACTACAATATAATTACAAAAACTAATAAAAACTTGATTACTACGATTTATTCATCATGAAGTCATGAAGATTATAATTGCTGATTAACGTTGGTGCCATGTTCACAGAATATTCTGTATTCTGTAAGTTTTGCCAAGTTGTATCCACTGGTAATTGCTGGAATGTGAGTGCACCTTGATCTACCGTATTAAGACCATTTTGGTTAAATGAAAAGTAACCTTCGATTAAGATTTGTTGATTCTCAAGTTGATCCGTAACGTTAAGTTGATTCTTAATAGCGACTAATTCGTTATATAGGTCTTTGAACGGTTTTTGGACTTCGATATTTAATTTCACTTGATCCCAAATCTTAGAAGCCAATTTAGAACATCCGCTCCGATCGAGCAACATATGGAGAAGACACCCTGAATTAGTACATTTCCAAGTCTCTTGACGTGACCAAATCAAAGCAGACCGAAAAATAAAAAAGCAGTTTGCGACCTTCTTTTTTAATTCAATTCTTTGTAAATATTCCATGGACGTCGGAATATCAATGTTCAAGTAATGCGCACATATCTGATTTGATACCTCGACGATAAGCTCATTCGAGCGGTCGTTAAGTATAACGACTATAGAGTTTTCGTCGGCCATAAGGTAGAGCGAATGTACTTCCTAGCTCTTTTATAAATAAAATTTTTTATAGTCGATGCCACAATGAACCTATTAATACATTATCTATACATAATGATACTTGAGAAATGAGAAAACAATACATTTGAAATGAAATTAGATAATGAATTGAGTACAACCCGGGCTGTTTATTTTTAAATGGATAATATATTGGCCGTTTTTCTTCATTATTTTATTTCTATTATGGGCATTTCTACGCATATGTTTCAGGATTAAAAATTAAATTTGTATGGTTATTATATAATATAATAAAATGGCCATTATGAAATAGTCTGAAACTATTTATTTCGTAAGTTATTCATGTATATGCTAATTGATAAAAAAGGAATTTTATGAATGATGAATTATATGACTCTTAACGTAAGAATAAATTTGCATGTTCGTTATCAAGATTAATGTTACGTATTGATTCCGAAATTTTATCGTTATTATCGACAAAAATATTGCATTAATGAGTCACTTTTTTTTCGGACAAAACTATTCGACAACTTCCTTAATTCGAAACCTCCGAAACCCTTCGAACCTCTTCAGAACTATTTTCGCCGAAACACTACTTCAATGAACTATAAATCAATCCTGTAATGACAAGTAATTTGTTTAGCCCACCGAACCATTATAACTTGTTATTACATGTTCTGTACATTAATTTTCCGGTCTGTGAAAAGGGGTTTGTTTGATTAATGATATAACGATAATCTTTTTGTTTTCCGAACAAGTACATAAACATGTACGTATAACCTTTTTGTATCACGTGGCAGATATTCGACTACGTAATTATCGCAATCCCGTCGGTCATTATACATGTATAAAGTAATCTCGCGATTATTTCGCTTTTTCTTTTTTTTCATTGATTACCTTGAATAACAGAAGTTTAGAGTAGGAATAGGAATCATCAATTCTTCAGAATCGTTTATGATGATTGATTTTAAAGAACAAATCGATTCTAGAATCAATTTTTTCTTCAAACTCAATTATCATAAACGATTAATCGAGGAATCGAAATTATTAAATCGGATTTGGGTTGAAAAGTAAGTACTCTACTATATTTTCTTTATTATATTTGAGTTTGGTTTTTACTATTATGTATATTATTTATATTTTTTTATTTTTTCTCTGTGTTTTTCAAGTTTGGATTAATCCCACGTCCATTCAATGAGGATTGAAGTGGAGGATTGTTTATCTTCATTATGATGGCTATTGTAGAAATTTCAATATATTGATGGTTTTTACTATAAAATTATGCACTATTAACCTTAAATCGATTCCTATCTCTTAATATAAAAACCCAACTCAGATATAACGAAGTAAAATAGAAAGATTATTTACTCTGAACTTTCGTTATTCAATAAAAACAAAGGTAATCAGTGAAAAAAAGAAAATTTAGAAAAAGCGAAATTATTTTTTATAAAATGATCGATGGGGTCGCAAACAGCGATAACGGATTGAGCCCTACCCGATACTGGTAACATAGCGATTCCCGTAGCTACAAGAATTCGTAATTTTAATCCAATTCGATTAAAAACAGTGTTATACATTTTGCAAATTCCAACACTACGTTCAAGATTTTCCAATGACAACACTGTGTTTATGAATAACTGGAAATGATTATTCGCTGGATATGTATCTATTTACTTTATTTGAAATATACGTATGTGATAAACACATCGATATGTCAATCACATAATTTGAATGAATGTTGATTATGGAAAAATATAAATATTGCACATGTTCAAATGAATATCAACATATGTTGAATATTAGGATACTCATTTTTACTACCAATTTTAAGCAAATTATAATTGCGAAATCTGAACTTTTTAGTATATATCTAAAACTTAATAGAAATCAATAAATTTATAGTAAAATAAATATGTCTTATCATTCAAAAAAGTAAATGATCTTATGAAATTAGAAACATAATTTATCGTTATACTGTAAATAAAAAATTTGCGTGTCCATCAACTTTAATTATTCAATTTTGAACTTGAGTCTTTTAACCCTCTGTGCATAGAGTGCGATTTTACCGGCCTTGAATTGGTATATAATTGTTTTTCGTAATATCAATTCCTAGAACTCTATCAAACCCAAGCAGATATCCCAACTTGGCGAATCGTAAACCAAAGCATTTCGATTTGATCTGTCTGTGGTGCACCAACCCTAAGTGACAAGCTTGAAATTTATTGTTAAAAATAAAAAAAGGCTCTATAGAACGTAAGCTAAGTGCCATTCTATGATTCTATAGAATTATTTTTGTTAAAATATGTGTACATCATAGATTTATAACGATAGAATTTAAATTTTCTCATTACACCAACGCATGACGTCGTCGCTTGTGATTATATGCTTATCGATCACTTTAATTCTAATTCTGCCTTTCATTATGGCCTTCAGTGATGTATATTCATTGCATTTAAGTATTCCAGATTTATTTTGCTGTGAATATTTGAAACAATTCCAAATGATATATTGGTATATTATTACAGTTAATAACAAAAACAATCAAGCTTTTTCATATTAGAGAAATTTAATGGCTTTGAAACAATCAATATGATAAGAGCTGAACCAATTTTTATTCGTAGTAAATTATTACGCCTATTACCACTATATTACTTATTACCACTATATTACTCCCATTACTCCTACTCTTTATTCCATACACAATTTATTTCGTAACAAGGGATTGGCGGAATCTTATAAAATTAATTGTCAGAAATCAAAGCTAGGATTGTAATTAAATTTATGTCAGAAATCAAAGCTAGGATTGTAATTAAATTTATGTTTAAAAAAGAAAATTTCTATACGTACAGAGGCCGTGCATATTAATTCGATCACTCAGCTTTTAAATGAAAATCCCGCACAAAAACCTACTAATGATGTTATAAACTTTTTTTCTCCTTAAGTAACTAATACTTAATTATGCCTCTATTTGTTATCAATCCGGCAAAACAAAATCTGACACAAAAAAATGAAAAAGACGAAAAATGTGAAAAATATGGTTTGAAGCACTAATAAAAAATCCAGGAAGGCAATGTTATTTTGAAACCCTAATCCAAACGATAAAATACCCTTCAACGTTAATTAAAACGAGTCACGTGCGGGTGACTTTTAAACATTACAACTGACACGTGGTGATCAACCTTTTTAAAATTCGTGTAACATGATTCCCAAGCTAAATGAAAGTTTTGGATCGCTAGCGCTAGAAATATAAAAACACCCTCGGTATATGTGATTGATCGTCAATTTAGCCAATGAAAGCAGAGATTGGTTTTCATAATACGTAAACTCATTACCGATATCGTTATGCAAATGTGTCGTATAACGACAATGATACATGTATATATATGTATAATGATAACGATCGTTATTGATAAATTTCCTTCTATAGTATTTGAAGAACTTGAGTTTGGAAACTCCCACTTTGTTTTATATCAGACATTAACGTTAATTCAATAGTGTTGATCTGTTTTATTAAAATGACTAGATAAGTGATTATGCAAACACAAAATTCTGTCGCTAAAATTTCTTTTGCAATAAATCTTTCTATCTAAATTTCATCGTATGAGAAGCGTGTAATAATCAGAAAGTAAAAAGCATCCAGTTTGGATCGAATATTTAATAGAATCAAAGATCTTCGATTTTCTATAATGATGAATTGAATCCTTTTTATTTCCTCTGATGAATATAATAGAAAAGATAAAAACCATAAAAGCGAAATGGCAAAGTGTGATTTTCGCTTTTACCGAACGCTCGTAACTATACTTGCTGTCCAAATAAACGAATTGAAAAACTTTCGACGCCAAGTATAATTATATATAAATTTTGTTTAAATTAATTATTAACGTTAATAAAATTATTGAAATATTAATTTAGATTAAGCCAATTATTAAATTCAATTTTGGCCAAATTATAGTTCAATATATATAATTATACAGTGGGGGACAGTATAAGACATCCACTTTTAGATAGCATTATATCAAGTGTTTTACTTAAAAAGGAAAAATAATATAAAAAAATTAAAAAAAACAATAGCTTTTTGATTAAGCTACGATTTAGTTAAGTTTTTTTAATTTTCTTTTTCTTTCCGTAAACGTAAATTTGTGAATTACAATTTTGGCATTTAATATTATAGTGCTTGTCAGAAGTAACCTGTCCCATAACTTTCTGTAGATCATGTATAATGTACCAAAAATTTTCTGAGCACAAAGAACATTACAAATACTGATTAGTGATACCTTTTATAGATCAGTAAAGATTCAATATCAGATATTGTATGTTTATAAAACTTTTATATTCCAAATATAATCAGTTATTTTATAATACATATATCAATATCCAATTCTTGATGTTCATTAATCTGATTTTGGTTTTTATTTATATTATCAAAAAATTATTTTACTAATTTTCACTTTTAATTTAGATGAAAATTTTTTTCTTTTTTATCTTTCTTTATTCAAAAATTTCTTTTTTATAAAATTCTTTACAATATATTTCCTGTTATAATATACTAAATAATAACTATAATTACAAATAAAAGTTATTTTATTTTCTTACTAAATGAATCTAGTCATATTTTTATTATATCAAACTTTTATTATAATTTTTTGTGTAATTTATCATTATAAAATTTAACTAATTAATTATAATCTAATAAATTAGAATTTGCAAATTATATATCTAAATCAATAAATAAAACTTTAATTATACTGTTAAATTTGTTAGTTAATTATTAAATTAGCTTATAAACTTGAATCTGGATTGGAAAAAAGTAATAAACTGATAAAAATATTAAAAGAAAAAGAAAAAGAAAGATATCTAAGATTTATATCAATTTCTACAAAAATTATATTTACTTAAAAAAGAATAATAATATAAAAAAGTTATAAAAGAGTAAAAACAAAAAAGAAAAAAGAGTATAAAAGTATAAAAGAATAAATAATAAAGGAGCATTTAAAAAACTAATTTTTTGTACTTGCATAAAGTTTTTCAGAGCTAAAATAATATAATTAGTAACAAAGACTCTTTTACTTTATTTTTCTCATAAATAAGAAATATTCATTAATAATCAAAGATTCAAATAACAAAAATTAAAATCCAATTTTAATAATTCTAATATAGTAATTTGTTCAGTATAATATAATATAAAGCTTAATAGTAATTTGTTTAATATAATATAATCTAAAGCTCAAAATTATTAATAATAATTTGCTCAATATAATATAATATAAAGTTATTAGTGATTTATTAGATATAATACAATATAAAATCACTTATACACAAGATTTGAAGTATATAAAAAAAATATGAAGAACAAAAAATATTTAAAAGAAAATTTTTGTTAAGAAAGATTTTTATTTTTAGTTATAATATATCAAATTAAGATTCAGATAACATCTTTATTTATATATTTTTAAAAATACAAAAAGTAAACTAAATAATTATATAAATATAAAAATTTAGATAAAAGTAAAATAACAAATTATATAAAAGTAAAATATCATATATAAAAGTAAAATAACAAAAAAGTAAAGTAATATATATATAAAAGTAAAAAGTAAAAAAGTAAAAAAGTAAAATAATAAAACAGTAAAATAATATATATAAAAGTGAAAAATTAAAAAAGTTAAATAATAAAAAAGTGAATAATATATATAAAGTAAAAAGTAAAAAAAGTAAAAAAGTAAAATAATATATATAAAAATAAAAAGTGAAAAAGTGAAATAATAAAAAAATAAACTAATATATGCAAAAGTAAAAAATTAAAAAGTGAAATAATATTAAAAATTTTATTATTATCTAAATATTTTTAGAATTTTGATTATTTTTGAAATTTAAACTTTTTATATTATTATTGTGATAATATTATTTGAGACTAAAAATATAATATTAAAATATAATAATAAATTTTGTTAATATAAATTTTAAAAACTTATAACTTTTCAAAAAAAATAGTATTTTTAAAATAATATAATTTAATTGTATATTAAGTTTTAATAATTTAATAATAAAAATATTTTTTTTAAAACAATAATATTAATAATAAAAATATTTATACAAAATTTAAAAACTTAGAAAAAAAATATCATTTTTAAATAATATCAAATATAATATATTAAATATTTTATATTTTAATAATAATAAAAAGATTTTATATAACTTTATAAGAAAATTTACATATAATAAAAAATTTATATTAACAAATTTTATTATTAGAAAATTGATAAATATTATATAATATTAAGTTACTATCTTCTTCCAGATGAGATTTTTATTATATTTAATTGACTATTCATTTTTGATTATATGAAAGATGAGATTTTTGAAATCTTTACATTTTTCTTGATAATTATATAATATCTGTCAGCTCTCTTATTGTATCTCAAATAAATTTGATCTACATAAATCATCTCACACTCCAATACAATATTCAATATAGAAGCTCTATCAAATCTATGAAAAGTATCAATGATTAGTATTTGTAATATTCTTTTGCTCGAAAAATTTCGGTACATTACACAACTATATATTATAAAACTAAAGAGTTTTGATTGGTTATATTGATTATTATGTATAAGATCTATGATTCAAAATTGGCGCCATGAAACAATATTGGATGTCTTATACATGCACAGCCCTTACTATGATTATAATAATTAATATATTAACAAAATTTTAATGATATTGTTTTAATTTAATTTCGCTTTGTTCATTTGGACTTCAAGGATACTCGTAACTGATTAGAAAAGAAAAACTCTCGGAAAAGTAGTCGATTAGTTAAATAACATTTTAAATAGGCTGTATTTTTTACAGCAAGACTTTCTGATGATAGAAGGACCAGGAGAAGCAATGATAGTATCTAATTAGGAATATTTATCGTTATGCATGAATCAACATTGCATTATACAAAACAATGAAACAATTTGCTTTATTTCTTATTTGGGCTACCGTATCCTACCAAAATGAGCCTTTTTGGCAATATTTTCAGCAGAATTTTTCATTGTCCGTAGTATGTTATGTTTATTTACAGTAAAATATAATACCTTTTAAATTGGGCGAAAAATAGTGAAATTTACCAAATGTTTTAAGTGGTGTTTATTTCTTGTTTGCAATAAAATGTGGCGTGGTGCTTAACATGTGGTAATGCTTGAAATTTGTCATATAATTTCTTTCTTTTAGGAACATAACGATAAACACAATTTCATTGTATTGAATATCCTATTACATGCATACGAATCTTTGTTTCAAATAAAGAAAATTTGATCTGCATGTTGCATTACATTAATGTTATTCAGGAAAATCTATGCTATCCCTATTTGTTATATGTATCCATTTTGTTTTTAAACTGTATCGCCATTGATTTTGTTCTATTCTAGTCTATTTATACCAGGGATACTAAGAAAATTAGTGGAACCTTTTCAGTTGTAAGAAAGAACTGTCCATGCGATGCGAGAAAATAGAAGACCTGCGAGATAGTGTTAAATAAAACGGCTCTGTCAAAAAGTTTTTCCTTGAGATAGAGCTGAATAATAAAGTTTTTCTCTTTGATATATCAAAAAGTAGAGCTGAATTATAGAGTTTTTTTTTAAAATATCAAAAAATAGAGCTGAACTATAGAGTAACAATCAGCGAGCAATAATGAAACTGAATAAACTAGTAACAATTATTGCACTATTTTGTATGCATTTAACTTTGACGAAATCAGCTGGTCTGATACCAGAAAATATCGATATGTCAAATGTGCCTTCAGTCAATACGCAACCAGCTCTTTCAATAATGAAAGATCTGATTTCTGCTCCAAACAAACAAGTAACTACCATTCCATCGATGGAAGAGCAATTAGTGACAACATCAAAAAAGACTAATACGTAATTAAATAAATATTCATTTGTTTCGTTTATCGTTATTTGTTTAATTTTATCCGCTCATTCTTATTCTCTATATCAATAGACCAACAATCAGATTACCAGAAATTACCAAGAATTCAATAATCTCTACTACTTTCGTGATGCCTACACTTAAACCACAAGAGGATAATAGCATCAAACCTATCGCACCACCAATTATTTCGCAATCAATTATTCGCGTGATTCCTACACCTAAAGCACAAGAGGATAATAGCATCAAACTATCGTACCATCAATTACTTCGCAATCAATTATTCACGTGATACCTACACCTAAATCACAAGAGGATAATAGCATCAAACCTATCGCACCACCAATTATTTCGCAATCAATTATTCACGTGATACCTATACCTAAAGCACAAGAGGATAATAGCATCAAACCTATCGCACCATCAATTACTTCGCAATCAATTATTCAAGTATCTTCAACCTTAAATCAAAAGTAAGTTGATTCTAATTCATTTTTATATTAATACGCAAAATACCAAAATAAATAAACTTATTTCTTTAATTTGCGTTGAAAGTTCACAATCAAAGTAAGCTCAATATTATATAATTCTCGAAATTATAGTAATAAATTATATTAATTCAAATTTACCTATACTTAGTAATGTCGCTCCGACTGATCAAATTTTCGCGAATCCTTCTTTGTAAATATAATAATTACTCTTTACTGACTAATAATTTCTATTTAACTAACTTACTTGTATTGAATTAAAGAGATGATTCAAACTCACAAAATAGTGATCAACAAAATACTTTGCCAACGTAAGTATTTGCAATGTTTCTTAATTTTATTTCAATTACTTACGAAAATTTCTTTTTATTGAATATAGTAATAGCGTGGTTCCGACAAATAAAATTTATCCAAATCCTTCAGTGTAAGCTGCCTTTAAAAGTTAATATCTTTGACTGCTTTAATTCTTAATAAAAGCATTCACCTATTTTTTCTTAAATAGTGATGAAGAAACCAAGAATTCCGAATCTGAATCGAGGTATGCATCTAAATGCTAAGAAAATGTAACTACATGCTTTGTTACAGATTCTGTATTAGCTCTTAGATCAAATGAGTCGATTCTATCGAAAGATTCCTTAGGAGAAATAACTTATTTTAATTTTTTGCCGATAGCTCTACAGAAGAACTGCAAGATATACCTTCAAGTGATTCGAGCAAAACTTACAAGTATGTTCGTGCTTCTTTATAGATATCGTGTAAATTTTATATTTTGATTTTAATATCAGCCGCATTGTCCAATTTATCATAGGAATCCAAGTATGCAGGAATTTGAAGAGACATCAAATGAAATAGCAAATAGCACTATCAGGTATATTTACGTGCATTAATACGTCAAAATTGTATAAATGAATTATTAATTTTATTTGATTAAATACATAATTCGAAATAGCGAAAATAGCGAATCTACTGGGTAAGTAACAAATATTGTTATTGAAGGTATATTTTATTATATAAGCCACTTTATTCATTATACTATTCTTATTCATTATAGTATGGTTTCGTCAAATTCAAATGGCAACAACGATACCTCATCATATGATACAAATATCGACAATAATTCTAATCGCAACAGCGATTCAAGTTTGAACAATAAAAATTACAACAATCCATCACTGACACCTGCTGATAATACGAATGACCCAGCGCTATCAACGGAGAGCTCTGTATCGCCAGCAAGGTAAATTGCTTCTTTTTACCATAAAAATAATTATGTGAGCTTATCTTTGAAATTGCTTTTGATACATCGTTAAAACATAGCAAACCCAGAAATGATTCTTCCAGTGGCACAACGAGTAGTTGGATGGTTCAAAATTCTCCGCCTTCTTCGTTTAGCACGTCTTCCCGTGACAATTACATTGGTTATATTTCAGGCATTCAACGAAATAATGCAGGCTCAGTAATTTATATTGTTGTTATTAGCATTGTTATTATTTTCTTTTTGTAACGATTGTAGAGAAGGTTTTGATCATAGCATTCTTAATTTGCTTTGTTATGTTCTTTTGATAACTGTTGTTATTATTTTCTTTTGGTAACGATTGTAGAGAAAATTTTGGTCATAGCATACTTAATTTACTCTGTTGTGTTCTTTTGATAACTATTGTAGAGAAAGATAGGTCATAGAATTGTCAATTTTCTCTTATAAAGTCCTTGAAATTGTCGATCTTTAAATCTCTTCATGCGTTTATTAATTAATGGAATCAATGTGTAATCTGAAAGAAATATAATTGGTTGCATTTACTAACTATTTGCAATGTCTGAAATGTTTCATAAATCAAATACATGTATTCTTAATGTTTTTGTAAATTTTATCAAATGAATGCTAGCTTTGAGTGTTATGCTATATCTACTAACACGCACGGAAACTCCCAAGTTCATAAATCCATGTTGGATAGCTCGAATAATTTGTATCGGAAATCCCGAACCCAAATCCCGAAATTCCCAATATTTCGAAATCCTAACATCACGAAATCCCAATCTTAATACGTACATGTATCCCATGCACATATCCTTACGTGCATATATAAATTGATTGATGAGATAAATTCGGAATTTTTAATATCAGAATTTTGGCATTTCGGGATTTCGAAAGGTCATGATTTAAATGTCAGAATTCTGGCATTTCTGGTTTTTTCGGGATATGGTGTTTTCAGGATTTTGTTTGTCGGGTTTGTCGTTGGGATTTTGACGGCACGCTTTACAATGAATGGATTACACATAAGGTAATCGCTTATATTAATAACAGATTTTTTGATTTCCACTAATTTTTTAGGATCAGAATATGTACAATATTTGAATAATTAAATTATTCAAATATAAAAATTCCAAGAGGACATTTTGTAATTGCTTGCATCCACGAAAGATTACTGTCTTAGAAGAAACAATGAAGATTGAATCGATTGTAAGGGGGACGAAGTTTGTGCATTTGAAGTATCCAGACTCACTTGAGCAATCACTCGTTAACTCAAGTAGTATTTTTTAAAATCATCACGCTATTACTTTATTAAGTGGAAGGGAATCAGATGATTCCAACATTACGCTATTAAATAATTTGGCGCGTTCATTTTAATAATAACGATAATATAAATCTAATCCATTTGACATGTATACAGTTTTTCATTCTCCAAACGCGACATTGCTAATTAAAATTCTGAAACAGATTAAGATCAAAATTCCTTTTTTTCAACGATAAGCATAATCCACGTTATTACCTGAAAGCATTTCTCTGCTTTATAATCAATTTACCTACGCCATAATTTGACCCGAGCAACAAGCAAGTGACCCGAATGAAAATTTTTCCATCGGTCCGGACAAGATCGGTGATCAGCGATCGGAAAATCGACAAGTGTCGATCACGCGATTCCGATCCCAATGTCGACCATCCGATATCACCCTTAATTATAATACATAATATTAGAGTTTCGGTTATATTTAGGGTTAAGTTATTATATAGCAAACGGTGGCGTTATATAGTAAAATTTCGCAAAAACACTCAAGTAGCGTTTTTTGCGTTACACTTGATCTTGCGATTTGATAGGCGCATAATTTTAAGGGAATATTAGATAGTCGGCATTGGAATCTGAATCACGTGATTGACACTTTTTTTGCCATGGCTAGGGTACTAGAACTTTTTCTAGTTTTAGAATACATGTATATCGGTATCGATAGTTTTTATCAACTTTCGGGGTCATTCGCAAAAAACGCCGATACATTCGTTACGAAATTTATCCAAATTCTTTGATCTTTTTTATATTAGGTTCGTCTTGTTTTCTCTTTCAGAAATATAATTTTTATTGTAGATTTTGAGCATAAAAAATTGTTAGTCTATGGAAAGACAACAAAATGATAAAGGCAATTAATAAAATATAAGACCATCCTGAATCTACAGTTGGGAATATAGTAAAAAATATAAAGTTCAAGTTTAACCATGTTCTGGTAGACTTTAATTCGTGATCGATCCATGAGTAAGGGAAAGAATTAACTATATAAATTCCGGTGCAATTTATAATTATATGATAATTAATAATGATCCATAATCATGAAATAATGAATATGAATATTCAAATTAAATTTTTTCAGATGAATCTTGTGATTCTTGGCTATTAAATGATCATAGATGAGAGCTGAAAATAATGACTTAGTTGTTTTTTTAAAAGTTATTAGGAAAAATTCTCCAGATTATGGGTTACAGTGCTCGTCAGAAGTAACGGACCCCCCCCCCCCATAACTTTCCATAGATCATGTGTAATGTTCTGAAATTTTCCGAGCATAAAGAACATTACAAATGCTGATCA